GCGCCCAGTATCTCGGCAATGGAAGCAGGTGTTTAGAATTTGACACTGTAAGGTAGGCCTTGAAGCATTCTTCTAACCCAACGCTGCCCCACATTCACCGCTCCAATATTGTGTATCTTTTCTTTGGCTCTTTTTTTTTAACCACACGTCTGTGCGGCCTTGCCTGCTTCCCCGTGAGGGGTATAGTTCAAGGAAATGTCTTTCCGTGAGCGTTTAGCTAGTCAGGTCAGCTGCAGTAAATTCAATGTTACGAGTTATCATAACAAGGGGTTGTTGCTATGCCTTTGATATTCCATCCATTTTGGCGGCAGTAGATGTCGTAGGGGTGACCACAGAATTCATGAAGTTATTCTAAGAACTGGCTGGTATGTAGTGCACGAAAGCAGAGCTTAGCTGGCTCAAAAAAAATATTCATGGTCATCCCTCGAAACGACCACCAAGGTCAGTACGATAAAATGGCGTCAACTGGAGCGATAATACATGAAGGAATGAGTTCTTTCCCCCCCCCCACACACACACACCAGTTACGTCATAGGGGGTGACCACAGTGTTCTGCCTTAATTCGTGACGTTTTTCTAAGAACTGGGTGCTATATACTGTGCAAAATCAATCGATCTTGCAAGAATAAATTTTTGGACATCCCTCTTCTAAGAATTCCAATTGAGTGTGTTAGTGTGGCCAGCTCAGGGCAATATGATATTATAAACACAGCACATATCACATGTCTGCTGTTTATAACTTCATAGCAAAGAAAACACGCCATTCATAACAGTAGAACGAAGAAACCGCTCGCAAGAGCAACAGGAAATTTGCTGCAAGACAGGCATATGTAACAATGACTTAGCGCAGATAAAGTCGTGGCTTATTATACTCTGTTCTACTGACAACAGGCCAGCGAAAAATCTAACAATCTACAGCAAAACCATCAATTATTATGGGCTTTATAACATAGGTGTGCAGCTGGACGAAACATACACGTCGAACCCCCCAGACGATTTAAATACCTGACGAAACATACACGTCAGACCACGCTGAACGGTTAACATTCTCTGGTATTGTATCTCTGAACTCTTGTAAATCCATCACTGCACGCACAGAGATTGCAATAAATGCTGCAGTGACTGTGTAACATGCACTGTTTGATGATTTTGAATCACCTTGAATTTGTATGTCAGCATGGTAGCTCTGCACTTAACAACTGTACCAGTGTCATCTTCTGTGCTTATTTTAGGATCTGTAGACAAAATGAGTAGTACGAGTATATGTGCTTGTGGTAGTCCACATTTCTGGAACATAGATGAACTCTATTACAGGACCCAAAAGTCTCCACTTCAGAATGTCAAGCAATTCTGCAAGATTTTTTCTGAACAATCACACTTATATCTGGTCTGTGTTCTGGTTGTTGCTTTCCTTCCATTGCATTCGACTAGGCAGGATTGCAGTTAAAAGTTATGAATAAGTTGAGTCCCCCAAACTTTTGTACAATTTCCATAGCATTCTTATAGTTTTTGTCCATATGTCTTGGGCTCCCTTGGAAAGTTGAAAGCAGAATTACCATCTTTCTTTTCTGAGCTTTTGTTGTAAGCTCTTGCTTCTGCAGCATCGAATAGCCCACGGTACATTACCACTCATATGTCTTTCTGATTATGGCATAAATAGTTTAATCTAGATCTTTCAGTCCATGTGTAGGCATCTACAATGCACTGTTGAAATAATATCACAGTACTATGAATTAAACTAAATCCAGGTCACACTGCAAGTCTGTAAGTAAAGAACGGCAACTGTGTTAATCTAGGTAATATGTTTTATGGTTCTTTTGCCTTGTACATGTTGCAGTTCCTGGTCCCGGCCACCCTCTCCACGAGGAAAGCAACAGATACACCATAGAGTTTCAATTATTTAGTGACAATATATTGTGACGTACTGCCTGAAAGCCAGACTATAAGACGTCCATCACTAGTCAACGGCTAACATTTCTTAGGCATTTATGCCTAGGAAATCGTTGCCTCGGAGAGGAAAGTCTAACAGTGTGGTTTCCACCATTACAAATGAACTGTTTGAAGCAGACACATATTCTAGTGGCAACAAGAGGTTCATTGCATTGCAGTGGGTGAAATTAACCCGTCTTATGGTGAGAAAGAAAGACACCTACTCAGTTGGGCCCCTTATAAGAGCTAATCTCAATCACTGGACAACTCCTGTCAGATTTACCCAGCTATTTCAACATATTTTTTTTTTGTGTATCTCCATGTATTTGTACAATCAGTCCAGTATGGGCTATAAGTACATCTTATGTGATACTTAATCTAAAGCTTAAATACTAAGAGAGAACCTGTCGGGGAGAGTAATGCTCCAGTGAGCATTCTCTACGGATCTATTTCGAGTGTGACTTTGTTATTTTGTGTATTGCATTTATATGAAGCGCGTCGTTAAGTCATTTGGTTTATGCCTTTTCAGTCTTCTGGGTCGTCTGCGTCATTTAATAGTGTGGTTGCGAGTTCATTTGGATGTGCCATTAGCTTGTATTTGTATTTACGGCTGATGTTTGTGGTTTCTTCCCGTACTGTAGATATGCCTAGATCAGCATGTAGTAGTCTGTTTGGGACGTACCACGGTGCATTGACTATAGCGCAAAGTACTTTGTTTTGAAATCTCTGTAACATTTCTATATTGGATGTACTTGCAGTTCCCCATAATGATGTGCCATAAGTCCAAATAGGCTTCAGTATTGTCTTGTAAACTAGGAGTTTATTTTTGGTAGACAGTTCTGCCTTTCTGCCAATTAGCCAATGCATCTGACTAAATTTGATGTCCAGTTGTTTTCTTTTGGCGAGAATATGTGTGCGCCAGGTCAACCGCCTGTCCAGGTGAAGGACTAAGTATTTGATTGATCCCTCTTGTATGTATGTTCCGTTTAATAGTACCGGAGGGCAGGTTCCATGTCTCAAAGCGAAGGTGATGTGCATGGATTTAGTTTCGTTGGCCTTAATTCTCCATCATTGTAGCCATTCTTCAAATTGGTCTAAGTGTGTTTGCAGTATCTGGGATGCTTCAGTAGGGTTCCCATGAGATGCTAGTATTGTTGTGTCGTCAGCATAGGTGGCAAGCACTGTTTGTCCGGTTTCTGGCAAGTCAGCTGTATATATGGAGTATAACATAGGCCCTAGGATAGTTCCCTGCGGAACTCCGGATAAGACGGTATAATTCAGTATAGGCTTTGTTGTATTTAACTAAAAAAGTTCTGTCGGTAAGGTAGGACTTTAATAGGGAATACATTGGATGTGGAAGAGGGCACTAAAATTTGTATAATAAGCCTATGTGCCATACTTTATTGAAGGCTAGGCTTATATCAACACATACAGCTGAGCAGTAGCGCCTGTTTTCAAAATCACTATGAATTTGGTTTAGTTAGTTAGTTAGTTAGTTATTAGAGAGGGTGGGTTTCCCCATGCACTTAGACCTGTAGTGGTCCATTGTGCTTCCCTCTATGATTTCTACCAGCCTCTATATCCTACCAGTATTGGTGCTTACCATCAGTCCCGCCCAGCCAGCGAGACCAGCTCTACTGGCTGAGAAGTATCTATAATGCTTCCCCCATCTACCGGAGGTATTAGTGACTGCTGTCGGGTGGCAGATGTCCGCAATTTTGCTCAGTGACCTCCTTCGGAGGTATGAGGTTCTTTTATGTGCCGTAAAGCTACAACACGGGACCCACAGCTTAAAGTCCCTCCCGGAGGACTTGTTCCCTGAATTTTTCCGCCCTTAAAAATTCGACGACCTCCGCCGGGTATTTGAACCCACGTACTGCGAGTCAGGAGGTGGGAACGTTACCTCTAGACTACGGAGGCCGCTTATGAATTTGGTTTACTAATCGATGTATTTGTTCGATCGTTCCGTGGCCTTTTCTGAAGCCAAATTGATGTGTAGGTATGAGCTGATGATCGTCGATTTCAGGTAGTAACTGTTTGAGCAGAATATTTTCCAGAACTTTGGAGAGAATCGGCGGGAGACTAATGGGTCTATACGATGCAGCATCGTTTGGATTTTTCCGTTTTCAAAATCATGACTATTTGCGCGACTTTCCATTGACAGAGGAAGTATTTGAGTTGTAAAATTGCATTATTTCAACATATTGGACTAGGCTAGTTCAGTGGGCCATGGTTTCTTGTTTTTGCCCAGTGAACTAGCCTAGTCCTATATGTTGACATAGCTGGGTGAATCTGACAGGAGTTGTCCAGTGATTGAGATTAGCTCTTTCTAAGGGGTCCAACTGAGTAGGCGTCTTCCTTTCTCACCTGAAGACGGAAACAGATCCAGTTTCCGAAACGTCACGTCCTCTATTGCCTATAATTCTGGACGATGGAAAAAGTCCAAAACCCCAGTAATTCTGTGTGTCATCCACCATCGTCAGAACCCTTTAGAATCTATAGGTATTTTCCTATGTCATGCTCTCCCACACTGATTGCAGTTTTCTGATTATTTACATCCAGATTTTTTCTTATTTTTTTCCTTCATTGTTCTCTGTCTTGTCTTCATGATCATAGAATTTCAGCTTCAGCTCTTAGTCTTATTTCTCCACTAATGATTCATTAGCATTTTTCCTTTGGTTTCTTATAGTTATTTTTACACCTCATAAAACTTTTATTCACTATTAACTTAATAGAAAGTTGGATACATATTTGATGTTAAAGTGCACAACACTTAAATGTCATTTATTCACATATACACGATGTGTTATGTTTGTAGAATTAAGTTTGTAAAAGGTTACATGTATTTAAAGTTCCACATTAACTAAGCATTTCTGCTGACGAGAAGCAGTGAATAGCTAGCTCTAACTGTTGGGAGATGGTGGAATATATTTCTTTCTCTTATCTTCTGAAACACCAAATCCAGGCTAGAAAACTGTTACTCTTACCTGGATATCTGTGCCTAACATCAGACCATTAGTGTTAATTTACTAGCAAAAATTAATATATGCTGATGGTTTTGTTTAACTTCAGGTCCCAGGAGTGAATTTACCAGTAAGTGACATTGGTTATTATTTGGCAACGCTGATCACTTGCAGTATTGTGCATGAACTAGGACATGCTGTTGCTGCAGTAAGGTATGACATATTTATTTAGTATCTTTACACACAGTCCAATCTGCCTTCTTACAGAAACATAATTGTATTATGGGAAGTTTGACTGTGTATAGGTGGTAACTTTGGTAGTAACAGTCCATAAAACCTCAGTATTTAAATGCTGAACAGAGTATTAAAGTAATTATTTGTGAACACATATTATTTTTTTTAAGTTGATTTAGACAGTAGGCAGTAATGCACATAATGCAGATATGAAGAAATTATGTTAATAAGTTGGTTGTACCTTTATAATATGGTGACCAGTTACTTATGATCATTTTCCAGACTCAGTGTTCCCACATATGCTGCTTTACAAATGGAAGTCTATATTTGTTCCCGAATTTTAGCATTCTTTTTATATTTCACCAACAGACCTGAATTTCATGACAGGTTAAGTTACTTTAATTTAATTTACTTTGCGTTATTAATATAAATTTCTGTATTAGAATCCGTCACAACAAAAAAATGAAACAGTTAATGTTTGACCTTTAACGTACAAATGTTATATATATCTAACAGCAAGTAACACTCCTCGGTGGCTGAATGTTATATTTATCTAACTGAGGACACTGCTCTCTTTGGGAGTGCTGACAGTTAGATCTGAAGTTTGAAACCAAAACAAACCCACGCAATCTCATGTCAGTGGTTCATTCTTTAGCTCTGAATAATGAAATCATTTATCACGGTACTGGTTTTGATACTATTTATGTTAGATATTACTGTTTATGAGCTGGTCAGCCAAATAGAGCCCAGCTTTGTTTTGAGAACTGAGTAGTAAATATTAATCTGTGCTCGCAGATTAGTGCTTCACAAGCTTTCAAGGAAATGCGACGTATTCAAGGATTGGTTTTCAGTAGCGAATTATCAGTTAGGAAGTCAGTGTCAGATTGTCATATATTTCTTTATCAGTTAGAAAGTCTGTCAGACTGTCATATATTTTTTTATATATCATTTTTATTTTGTGCCTCGGAAGAGGTATAAACCCACTGAGCCAGTATTACGTTGTGAATAAAGAGCATCTTCTTCACTGTGACTTTTGGTATCAGTGTCGGACTGGCACTCTTTTTGACCAGGATTGTAATTACTTTGCATCACTATTTTGTGAGTATTACTAACAGGTGAGTGTCACTTTGTCAATCAACATAATTTATTCAATTTAGCAGGAAACCCCCCTCCCCCAAGATGGAACCTCAAAAACATGCCAGATATTCAAAACTTCTCGATGCAGAAGAACTGAAGGAAATATTGATGAAAGAGGAATCTGATGATGAGTTAGAAGAACTCAATGAGTTCATTGAACCTCATGAAAATATCATCATCAACTGGTAATAAGGCAGAGGGCCTTGTGGATAAATCTGACAGGATGGTAAACAGTTATGGAATTGCTTTGAGGACATGGAAATGGACAAAAAATTGTTTTTCCGCCTTCTAGATATGACTGTTCTCAATGCCTATCTGTTACACAAGTCATGTGGTGGAAAAAGACACATAAAAATCATTGAAATCCTAGTGCGGGATTTGATTCTTCAATAGCACGAGGCGAATATCACGGTCAGTGGTGTTTCTCGGGGGGAGGCCAAGTTCATTTGGGGCCCAACTGAGTCGACTGGCGGTGAAACATTCACAACACTGGCCAACCAAAGGGAAACGAAGACGTCATGTGTTCGCTAAGTATGAAAAGCAGGAGCATCCTTTTCTGTTGTAAAAAGTGTGATGTTGGGCTGTGTGTCGTGGACTCCTTCGAGATGTGGAACAAGCATGTCAGAGAGTATGAAGTGACGCAGTTCAAACTCGCGTACAGTCTAAACAAAATATTATTGTATATTGATTGGTTGGTTTCCAGTGGCTGCATTTGGGATCATTTAACCCATTTTGCTTCTTGCTTCCCAATCGAGATCACTCAAGTTTTTGCTTTGTTGCATCTTGAAGAAGTTTGCACTTTTTCTTTGGGAAGCTTCGCCAGGTTTGTTGCTCATTTTGCACTACCCAGGGGACACGTATGACTTAAAAATGTCACAGATGCTAGCAACTTTGCCCCCCATATTATTGTATATAGTGATTATATTTACAAAATCACCAAGATTGAAGAAAAAACTACGGGTAAGTCCTTTGGAATTTCATAACATATATAATAAAGATTATATTTTGCATTTCATGACAAAATAATCACAGTTAATTTTCATTTGTAAAAATTGCTCTTTTGTGTATATGTAGAAAATGTGATTGCCTTTCAGGTTGTTTTTAGTTTATATTTCTATGTCACATAGAACGGAAAATATGTAGGGTTTTTTTTCTCCCCCCCCCCACTCCAGAAAAGTCTGCAATGTTAAAGACTTAGGGCCATTTAAATTCCGGCCTCAGAGGGCCGCTGGGAATTTAAAAGCCTGTATGTTAGAGGTTAATAATATTTAGTTACATGTTTCGGTAAATACAGGTAAATACATGATTACCACATTCTTAAACTATTGAATTACATTTTATATGTTTGGTACAATAGTGCTGTATTCTTGACAGATATATCATAATATAATAATATAAAATATAATAAAAGATAAAGATCTCTTAATAGAATATGTTATACAATTAAGAATATAATTAAAAGATATGCGTGTTATATGTCTTATTTTGTACGTTGTGCGTTCAAGTTCTGAGGTCTCCGATTTTTTTTCTCACACAATAATCATATAAAAAATTTGAAACTTCTGTCACTTTTCAATGTGATCTCCCTGCAGCTGTACACATTTTTCACAATGTCGACGCCATGATTCCATGGCCACTGCGAACGCTTCTGTAGGAGTGTTTTGGCCACTGGAAAATTGCTGATGCAATAGCAGGCTGAAAAACGGCATCCATGTCTCATCCATTGTCACAATTGATGAAAAGAAAGTCCCATTCATGCCTTCATCACGTGTCAACATCGCCTGGCAAATTGCCATGCGTGCAGCCTTGTGGTCATCTGCCAGAATTCGTGGCACCCACCTGGAGGACACTTTCCGCATTCACAGGTCTTCATGCAGGATTTTGTGCACAGATCCCACGGAAATGCCAACTTTGGAGGCGATGTTATCCACACTTAATCGGCGATCCTCCAAAACAACTTTCTCAACTCACTCAACCATGTCAGACTGGCTGGTGTGAGGCCGAGATTGTTTTGGTTTGTTGTCACACGACGTTCGGCCTTCTTTGAACTGTCGCCCCCACGAACGCACATTTTTCACATTCATGACACCATCACCACACGTCTCACTCAACTGGTGACGAATTTCAATGGGTGTTGCACCACGCAAGTGGAGAAAATGAATGATTACTCGCTGTTCTTGTAACAAAAACGTCACCATTTTAAGTATCAAAACACTCCTCACTCTCACTGCTACCACTAGAGTTCTGTGTGCCGTAGAGTGCTACCATCTCTGTCACGCATTCACAAAGAGTGCACACGTATTTTAAACTAAACCGCATGTGTCTGTCTGCTCCCAGTCCTGAGAAAGAAAATCGGAGACCTTGAAACTTGAACGCCCCTCGTATGTTGTATGTTGTTGCAGTCGTATTGTTATGTTATAGTTCTTATTTTTGTGGACATATGGCTATAGTTTTTTTGCCATTTACACATATGAATTTGGTTGACTTCTTGGAGGCCCATTGATGTGCGTGCAGTATTATTTTGTTTTTATATTATTTAATGGGTACCTCATTTTACATGTGTTATGTCCGGTCTGGTAAGAAGACAGATTGCAACTGCTGTGTTGTGATGGGTTCTGATAAACAATCTTATATAATTAAAACTTCAGGATGCACCCAGTAGCTTGTTAGATGGGTACCGACATTTCAGAGGAACCTACTGCCTTAGTTAGACTTGAAAGGATTCTGACGATGTGTATACTGTACTTCTTTTGGCTTATTTTGGACTTCATCCATGGATGAAGTCCAAAATAAGTCAAAAGAAGTACTGCCTTAGTGTTTATAAGCAGTCTTGATGCAACTTTTTGTAGAGTTATGGTAGCTGTGCGGATATTGTCACGTTGCATGTTTTTAATTGACCTTATCAACAGTGTAATGCACACTTTCCTTTATGCACCTGGTGCAATTTATGTTGCTTGTGATCGCTACATGATGTTATTCATTGATGGTGGGTGGAATTATCCATGTTTGCAGATTTTTCTGTAGCTGTGTTGCCACCGCATAATGGTATGTGTTATATTGCGTTTTTTTTTTATTATTATTTTAGTACAGGTAAATATAAATGTGCTCTCATTATATGTGGTGCCTGTGGCTGTTGGGTGAAGACTGGTGATTTCATTGTGTGTTTTATAGTACCATGTTTGATGTGTTGCAAAGTTAGTGTAGATATTTTTTGTATGTTTGGTTTAATCGCTGTGGTTTATTTGGTGCAGTATGTTATCTTGAATAAAATTGTTTGCAGTTTTCAATATTTGGGTCATGTCTGTATGCGTGTTGTTTGTATGTAGGTTGTTTCTACTTATTGCATAAATGTGATATTTCTTTAGAATGTTTAAGTATTTTCCTTTCCTTCTGGCCTTTATGATGTCTGTAGTTTTGTAGGTGTGTATGTCCAGTGTTCAGGATACAGTTTTGTGTTTTGAAATAATTTTAATTTTTCATACTTCTTTCCCACTATATTATTTGATTTTTCAGATTTTGTTGTATATTTTGTTTTTATAGGGAGTGTTTTTGTTTTAGGGGATGGTTGACTTGGATATCATATTGTATACTGTGTAGTATGTTAACATTGTTCTTTTCTGTTTTGATTATTAGGTATATGTGTAATCTATTTATTAAGTAACTGATGCTTGACAATTTATAAGGGTGGCAAGAATGTCTATGTGTATATTTCCAGTATGTTGCTAAATTTACTGATTCTTTTTCTGTAGGGAAAACCATTAAGGTTTCTTCTATATATGTTTTATCATAAGTGATGAGGATGTGGATATTTTTGGAGTATCCCATTCTTTGATATTTTGTTA